TGAATCATCATATCTATGAGTTTTGCAGCACTGCCAATCCATCCTTCCCTACAAAACCCAACAACTAGAATGGTGTATATATGGACATCGAGAGGTATTCTATAGTCAATCAATCTTTTCAGTAACTTTTCGACCTCTGCCCATCGACTGAATTTGCAGAGTCCATCAATAAGCGAACTATAGGTCACGACATCAGGAGGAAGACCGATTTCCATCATCTTCTCTAATAGGAGAAGAGCCTCGTCAACCATTTTATCCTTACCCAAGGAGTCAATAACGGCGCTATATGAAAATACATTTGGCTTGCAGTTTCCCTTTTCTTCAAATAAGTGAAGCAGCTTAACAGCCTTACTAGTTTGTCCTGCCTTGCAGAGGCCATCAATGACTATTAATAAAGTAACTTCATCTATCTCACACATTTTCTCATTCAATACCTTCTGGAACAACCAAACAGCATCTTGAACCCTATGTTGCAGAAAAAGTCCTTTCAGTAAACTGCTGAACAAAACCACATCAGGTACTAGGCCCAACTTCAAATGCATTCCCAAAACAGCAAATGCCAAATCTACTCTGTGCAAACGGGCAAGGGAATTGGCAGCAATGCTCAGTGTAAACTCGTTTATCAGAAGGCCAGAAGCAAAAATATCTCGAAACAGAGAGACAGCCCCGGGGTAACAACCCATCTTGACAACAGCAGTCAAGAGTTGGTTGAATTGGACGATGGGAAGACGGGGTCTCATTGTAACCATGTGACGGTACAAACCAATTGCATCTTCAAGCTTAATAATACTTGCAAACTTCAGTTTAGTGAGTTGAGAGTATGAATTTTGAAATTTTGACACATCAGCACTACCATGAAAACTACTGGAGAAGTTGAGGGGAAAGTGAGGGATGGATAAATGGACGTTACCCGGCGATAATGCTCTCCAGGCCCAACTGAAAAAGTGCCCGGCAATGCCATTCATTTTCTTCATTTTCAGGCAGGCTCTTAGCTGTGCAGGCCGGTCACGCTGGCAGTGTGTACCAAAGATTTAGGAGTCCGTCCACAGTACAACAGGATGTAGGGTTAGCACCCTCAAGTGCGCTGCATTTTTGTAATATAATGTAAAAATCGCGGTTGAATTGTGTAGTGTACTGAGTAATAGTCCAGTTTTAATGAGTATTAAGAGTCTAATTATGAGCATTATGTTATTACAAGAAAGTTGATATCACAACTAAAAAACGCTGACATTATCGCAATTTCAGTGAAAATCGTGGTTTTCATTAGATGAGCATTAATACACTATTAATGAGGACCAGACGTATTTTACTGAATGTTAAGAGTCAAACAATGAGTATTGTGATATCAACTTCATATATTGTACCCGAGTAATTCACTTTCTTTCTCTTGTTTTATTCTTTTATAAAAATTCATGAAATTATATCTATAATCAACTTCTTTAAACTTCAGTATGCGAATTTAATGTAGTATGATACCTTTGAAATATCCATTGATATGTCATTTTAAAATGATGAGCATAATATCAGTATCAAATGAGCATACACAACTTTCAAAAGGCACATAAATATGAAAATCGTAAGGTTTGTTAGTTGGACGTCATGACATTTTCATTGAGCATCAAACCTTCTATATTGAGATGAAAATACTTGTTTATGTTAAATGAACATTAATAAACTTTTAATTAGCATTAGACTTATTCTGTTGATTATATCCACAATCAATTCTATGAAGTTCACTATGTGAATCTAATGTATATGATAGTTTTGAAATATATGCATTGATATGACAATTTAAAAATGAGCATAACATCAGTACCGAATGGGCATATGTAGCTTACAAAATAAGCATTAGTATGAAAATAATAAGCTTTGTTAGTTGAGAATAAAGACATTTTTCATTGAGCATTAAACATCCTTTATTGGATACTAGAAGCGTGCAGTTGAGTACCGATTGACCATTTTTATACCAAGAATTCCAGTCCAACTGGTTATGAGGTTACCGTGCCTAGTCGGAGGTCTCAAGTTCGAATCCCGCTAGACACACAAGGGTTTGAAACTCAATTGAATGAGTTTCAACCCTGATTACCCCCAAGCCCCCCCCCCCCCCCAGCCCCCCAAAACCCCACTTGAGTGTATAAAAAAATCATAAGTTTTTTTAGTTGAGTGAGCATCAAGCCATTTTCATTGAACATCAAACATTTTCTATTGAATATTAGAATCATGCAATTGAGTATCATGATCTCTACTTTTGTCTCTATAATCAACTCTCATGTCAATCTAATGTAATATATGGTAATTTTGAAATATGCATTGATATGACATTTTAAATGAGCATAAACCCAATATCAGATGAACATATGTACCTTACAAAATGAGCATCAAAAAATTCAAATAGCATTTGAATTCTTAAAAATATGCTCACTTCTTTTAATCGTTATACTCATTCAAATACAAATAAACTCATTTCTATAATATGTACACGTAGTAGATGCTTTATTAACAATTTAATAAACTATTGTTATATATAACAATGAGAAATATACAAATGTTTAATTAAAAATAATTTATAGTCTTTTGTTCTTCAATTAGAAATATAATCGCGTGGTTTTTATAATATTTACTCATGCTCATTTGTTTTAAACTATACTCATTTAAGTATAACACAAAACTCATCTATATTTATATATATATAGTAAAACAGAAAAGTGTAGGGAAAATTTGGGCGGGAACACGCAATTTGGAACAAAAAATGACTTTACATGGTTCAAGAAATTTGTACCACCGAGAGATGGGATAATAATTAATGCAAATGTTTCTAACCATCCAGCTTCTCAAAATGGTATTATTACGTAGTATACTAGTATCTTTACCCGTGCCGTGCACAGGTTAAAACGATTTTGTTTTAATTTTACTATATATGTGTGTGCCCGCACACCTCATATATGTATGAGTAATTATAACTAACAGAAAGTCACTTAGTTAGCCAATTTTAACTAAAAGAGCCATTTTTTGTAACTCTCTTGTGCCCAAATGAATTTTGTCTTCTCAACCATCTAAAAAATTGTTTAATGCTTATTTTTAATATCAAAATATATCAAGATTTATGTTAATATTTAATATATACACTAAATTAAAAAATATTTAATATATACACTAAATTAAAAAAAAAAATTACTCTTTCATAGATCAAATCAAAAAATTGATTCCAATTGAAAATATCTTTAATTAGAATGGTGAAAACAAATTTGAGATAACATTAACATAAATGTGTATTTAGAAAATATTAACACATGGAGTCTTATTTTTTTACCTACGTGAAATATTTTATTTTTAGCTTTATTTTACTATGTAGAATGTAAGAAAAGATTTTAACGGTGCCGCTTCTACTCCATCACATCTAAAAAGCACAGGCTACTGAAAAAAGATGTCGATATCTAATTCAATAGTCATAGCACCCGGTACTTAGCTTGTGCAAAAAAAATACTTCGTACTATGTAACATTTTTGGACATAAACAGTGATATGAGACCATCAACTTTATTGATGCCATATTTGTTGTATCAACCAAAAATGATGATGAAGTAAAAAATGAATATGTGAATATGAGCGTCTTTCAAATAAAACATAATAAAGAAAGTAACAATTAAAATCTTAACCGCAATCAAAATCTAAATGACATTATTTAAATTATCCCGTGCATAGCACGAAAAAAACAATTTTGTTTTAATTTTACCATATATATGTGCGCCCACACACCTCACATATGTATGAGTAATTATAACTAACAGAAAGTCACTTAGTTAGTCGATTTTAACTAATTACGTAAACTTGTTTCAGTCTATATTTTCCAACTAAAAGAGCCATTTTTTGTAACTCTCAGTTGCGCCCAAATGAATTTCGTCTTCTCAACCATCTTTATCTAAACAAAAAAATTGTTAAATTTTTAATGTCAAATTATATCAAGATTTATGTTAATATTCAATATATGCACTAAATTAAAAAAAAATACTACGTATATAATATATACACTAATTTAAAAAAAAAGTTTTACTCTTTCATAGATCAAATCAAAAAATTGATTCCAATTGAAAATATATTTAATTAGAATGGTGAAAACAAATTTGAGATAACATTAACATAAATGTCTATTTAGCAAATATTAACACATGGAGTCTTATTTTTTTTACCTACGTGAAAGATATTTTATTTTTTAGCTTTATTTTACTATGTAGAATGTAAGAAAAGATTTTAATGGTGCCGCTTCTATCCATGTGTGACACCGCTCCCGAAGGTCCTTGAAAATTTGATTTGAATATTCAAAGCTTATGTATTGGATTTCTGATTCCCAAACATTTTGTAAAACGATCAATGTTCTACGTAGTGCATGGTTGAATATCGTACTGTTCAAACTCGTACATTAGTGTCGGGTTTCGCAAATACTTACTCGGGACTTATTAATAAATAAAAGAGTCCAACATTATCTATATAAGTGATCGAAGGATTAAAGAAGAATACAAATGCCTATAACCCCATCTTTGGCATTTTTGAGCTAAATAATGGGAGTAGGATTTTCCTTCTATAACATCCATCAAGTAAATTATTGGGATGAGCCTACACATATTGGAGGTCAATAATGTGATTTAGGAAGTTGACTTGTTCTAAATAAATTAGGATGAGTACAAAAAGACATCTTTGACAAAGATAAAACAATAGGACCCATCTTCCCATTTTTTGGAAGTATTGATAGACATTTTGGACCCCAAATTGAATGGGACCATTTGGGGACCATCCCACATGACCTTGGTACCTGCAAAACAAAGGAAAATGGGTGAGACAAAGATGTGGGGCGGACTTTTGACTCATGAACTACAACATTACAAAAAGGAAATAAAAGAGGAGGTCCACACCATGTTTGATTGCAATCAAATACCCTACCCTTCTTTTTGGTGAACCACATGCTCTCTTAGCATGATTGAGGCCTCCTAATACACTCCCCCTACACCCCATTCGAACTCCCAAGATAAGAGAGAAAGAGAGAGCCACATACTCCAAGGGAGAGGTGAAGAGAGAAGCTGGCCGCAGGACTCGTTTTCCAGAAAATAGGGCTACTTGTTTGATCCATAACTTGAGCTTCACTCGTCCAAATAAGGCGTATGATATACCAAAAGAAAGCTCTCAAGACGAGGAATCCGTGAAGGTCTGGTTTGCATAAATCGGAGTAGTGTAAGACCTCCAAATCGACCGATCAAAACACGACCTCGCAGAATACGTTTTTGTATTCAAAGTAAGTTTGAATCCAAAACCTTCCTCTCTATTGTCTAAATCATATAAATGATTGAAGAACTATTATACACTGATTGAAGTGTATAAAATGTTATTATTATGTGACTTTAATTGTTGGAAAGGTTAGATACTAACCTAGACAAAACCTTGAAAGGTTAGGGAACGAATTCGTCGGGAAACACCCGTTCTAGGGACTGTTTTTGCATTTTCGGTTAGGAGTTGAACTAGCACTTTGAAGGGGCTGTTTAACACTCCATTCCAAGCAAGGAATCAGTTCCAAATCCACCTTGACCAAAGCTTTGACCATTGGATCAAGAAGGGAAAGTTTAAAGCTCAATTGAGGTGAGGATTGACATCTAATTGCTTACAACTTGTAGGTTAAGCATGAGATTACCTAAATGCTTAAATCATGATTTTTCATGGATTATGATGATTATATATTGATGGAATATTGATATAGTTGCCAAAGAATGAAATTTGAAATGATTTGAGAAGGTATGAATAATATGAGATTAAATGAGTATAAAAGAACCATTTTGTGAAAATGGGTATTTTACTCATGTATGAATTATGTGGATACATAAATGAATATTTGTGTATTGAGATTAAATACTTAAGTTGCTGCTACATAATTATAAATATGTAGAGAATTACAAATAATGAGGATAATGGTATGATAACAATAATCTTAATAGTATTGAAATACTAGTTAGTGATTATTGGGACTTGTTGATTAAATTGATCCTAGGGATTGGATTGTATGAAAGGTACTTGAATATGGTTCAAGTGTATATAATACTTAGTATGGAACTAAGGTTGAGTTATGGGAAGTCTTTAAGGATGACCCATGGTAGTTTAATGATATGTTAATTCTAGGCATAGGGTTGCTTGAGAATTGGACCTTAATGCATGGTGATGTGATAGAGCCGAGCTCTAGAATGCATGTAAGGTGTAGACTTGGAGTCTATGTATTGTATAGCTAGAGCCGAGCTCTAGGACTTGCGTGGTGATGTGATAGAGCCGAGCTCTAGAACGCAAGTAAGGTGTAGACTTGGAGTCTATGTATTGTATAGCTAGAGCCGAGCTCTAGGACTTGCGTGGTGATGTGATAGAGCCGAGCTCTAGAACGCAAGGTAGGGAAATTGACCCGAGGTATATGAATTGTATGGTGATGTGGTAGAGCCGAGCTCTAGAATACAATGTCATGTACTAGGGTTGGACTCTAGGAGTTGTCGTGGCTTATAGTCACGGGGTTGGGAATGGTGATTTCCAAATGAAAACGGGCCCACGGGCCGACTACTTGACTTTTATATAAAGTAAGTATATTTTTTAAACGGGGTAACTTAGGGTTACAATCATAATGTACTATCACCCTACTTGAGGGTCTTGTGTTTGAAATACTTGTTGTATATCTATTAGATGCCTGCCACACCAGTACTTTATAGCCGTATAGAGTACTGCCCCCTTCGGGGGCGTCCCACCACCATTTCAGGTTGAGGCTAGAGCTTGCTTCCTGTGCTCGTTGCCCGAGTGATTTCCCCGGAGAGAAGACTTGGTTCGTGCTTCCTCCATTCTGTTTTAGAACATTAATAAACATGCTCATGGATATTTTACTTTAGAGCCTGCGTGCTCATGTTTGCCCTGTGTGGCCCTTTTGTTTTAAACAATGTTTTCCGCTGCGTATTCAATTGTTTATTATGTATGTTTATGGATGACTTATGTGTGAATGATATTCATGACGCCTTGTATAATATGAATGTGTTGGACTGCGGTTGACTATTCGTATTGTGCGGCGGGTTGTTGACGTGTCCGGGAAGGTCCGGGGCGTGACAAATAAGTTGGTATCAGAGCCTTAGTCCATAAACTTCATAATGAAGTCTCAAAATTCTCTTTTTGGAAAGATTTTGAAAACCATGAGCATAGAAGTTTTGTACTTGGAGAGCTTTTGGTACTTGGGTTGCAAGGTCTCTAATTGTTAAGATGGTACCCTTAGCAATTGGTATGGCGGTGACTCGAGCCAAAATGTGTCTTAAGTACCTATCCGTCAATTGACATTTGATACGAGTCTAACGACTCTTTCCAAATTTCTTTCAGAAATGGACCGTGGTGGCAAGGTAACTAGGAGGAACCCTTTGGGCCGTGCACCCGAGGAGACTGGGCAAGGCAGTCGTAGGACCTCTAGGGCATCTGGAGGAGCGGGCCGTGGAGGCCAATCACGGACCGTGAGTGACGGTCATGTGAGCACCGAAAGTGACAGCTACTGGTCCTATGAGGACTCGACCTATCGGCCGGAAACAGAGCCGGTTGAAACCCCTTATGAAGGGGATGATGATGATGTAAGTGATGAGGAGGACAACGGCTCCTTAGCGCGGATTGAGGCACTACTCCAACAATATCACCGTGAGCGTGAAGAGAGGAGGGAACGCCGAAGGCGCCGGGCTGGGCAACCTTCGGGCATGGCTTCACGAGGAGGAAGTCATGGTGCATCTAGAGTCCATGTGGAACCACGTGGAGGCCAAAATGATGGAGGTCCAACCATAAGGATCTCCAAATACATCAAAGAAGCAAGAGATTTGGGGTGCAAACCCTTTGATGGAGCAGGGGACATTTCAGTGGCAGCACAATGGATCAAGAGGCTAAATGAAGCGGCCCTTGACATGCAAATCGCGCCGAATCTCAAACTGAGAATTGCGGTAAGATTGCTCGAGGGGATGGCATCCAAGTGGTGGGATGGAACCAAGAACAAGTACGGTGAGACCGTCGTTTGGGAGGACTTCCAACGGGAGTTCTTTGCCCAATACTATTCTGATTTCGAGGTGAATAAGAAGGTGAGGGAATACACCCTCCTAACCCAAGGGGGTAACATGTCAGTGAAGGAGCTTGAGTACAAGTTCCGGGATCTCGCCGACTACATACCGGAGTATGCTTGTGACGAGAACCGCATGGTGAACCACTTTTGGGACGCCCTTGACTTGGAGATACGTGATAGGGCAACACAATTGCCAAATATGACCTTCGCCCAAGTGGTTGACCAAGCGTTGAAGGGGGAGAAACAGTGGGAGGAGAGGAAGAAGAGAGACGCCGAGGAGGCGAAAAAGAGAAAATGGGAGAGTCATGGCTCCCAAGGTCCCAACAAAAAGGGGAACCATGGAGGAGGATCTTTCCGGGCACCGCCGCCACCGTCTAGGGGGAATCAAGGCCCGAGTGGGCAAGGCTCGAGGTCACAAACCTCGGTGGTAACTCGTTGCAACAATTGCAAGAGGAACCACTCCGGTAAATGTCGCGACCCCCCTAGATGCTTTCAATGTGGGGATGCCGGGCATTTGAAGGCGCATTGCCCACAATTGGGTGGGACAAGGACATCGGGACCGAGCAGTGGCCCGACGGGTACACGGAATCAAACCGGAGCTTCTCAAGCGAGCCGGGGACAGGGGGGAGCGAGTGCGAGCAACGCGCCATCCGTGAATCAAGGAAGAACTCAAGCTAGAGTTTATGCGATGACGGAGGCGGATGCTCGAGCCAACCCGGACTCGGTTGTAGGTATTGCCTCTTGCACAATTGTATTTTGTCCATAGTTAATCCATAAATTGATGACATAAGTCATAGGGATTGAGTGCGAGCCATTACGGGGTCAAACGGCGAAATTCGGGCCAGAACTGACCAAAAACAGGGACGCACGATCGTGCGTCCAACCCCACGCACGATCGTGCGTAGGGGGCAGTGGTTCCGGGTGATGTTCGCGCAGGACGCACGACCGTGCGTGCCGGTACGCACGCCGTGCGTGGACGCACGATCGTGCGTGTCCGGGTACGCGCGACCGTGCGTAACCGGCAGTAGCCGGAAGCGAATTTTTTTCCATGCACGCACGACCGTGCGTGTCCCACGCACGACCGTGCGTGGACCCCAGCCGCCCGAAACCTAAGTTTTTCCTCTCGTTCTTCTACGATTGGACCCCCGTTTGATTCCGAACATCTATATGAACCTATTAACCTCCAAAAAGTGTCCTAAACCATTAGAAAAGGTATCTTACATGGTGTATAAATGTAGGAACATTAAAGATTAATGGGAAGGATGCACGAATCCTTATCGATACCGGAGCGCAACGTTCATTCGTGAGTGAGGCGTTTGCCGAGAGCTTAGAGATGCAATCAATACCAATGACACAAACCTTAGTGGTATCAACCCCACTAGGGGAAGACGTTGAAAGAAACAATTACTATCCATCTTGTATGGTGGAAATCGGTGGCCAAACCTTGACGTGTGATTTCGTACCGCTGAGTATGATGGAGTTCGATGCAATCCTAGGGATGGATTGGCTAGAAAAGCATCATGCTAGGGTAGATTGCTACACAAAGGTGTTGGAACTCGAAGGCACACATGGGGACACCCTACGCTTTGAGGGGGACCGCGGCAAATCAAATAGTTGTATCATATCCGCCGTGAGAGCGAGAAATATGATGAGGAAGGGATGCCACGCATATCTAGCATACGTGGTTGACAAAACCAAAGAGGGAACGAACATCGATGATGTGAGGGTGGTTTGTAAGTATCCGGATGTCTTCCCTAAAGACCTACCGGGGCTTCCACCTGACAGAGAGATTGAATTTGTGATCGAGGTCGAGCCGGGTACCAAACCAATCTCCATACCGCCATACCGGATGGCACCCGCTGAACTTAACGAGTTAAAAACCCAATTGCAAGAGCTTTTGGATAGCGGTTTCATCAGACCAAGCCACTCCCCATGGGGGGCACCGGTCCTTTTTGTGAAAAAGAAGGATGGAACACTTCGAATGTGCATTGACTATCGTCAACTGAACAAGGTCACAATCAAGAATAGGTATCCCTTGCCTAGGATTGATGACTTGTTTGATCAACTACGAGGAGCAACCGTGTTTTCAAAGATTGACTTGAGGTCGGGGTACCATCAATTGAAGATTAAGGAGGATGACATACCGAAGAGTGCTTTCCGCACGAGATATGGGCATTTTGAGTTCCTTGTTATGTCGTTTGGGTTAACAAACGCCCCGGCGGCATTCATGGACTTAATGAACCGAGTATTTCACAAATACTTGGACCGATTCGTGATTGTGTTCATTGATGACATCTTGATCTACTCAAAGAGTGAGGAAGAGCATGAGGAGCACTTGATACTTGTTCTTGAGACACTACGGGAGAAGCAACTCTATGCCAAATTTTCTAAATGTGAATTTTGGCTTAAGGAGATTGGCTTTCTCGGGCACGTGGTTTCTGGATCGGGAATTGCTGTTGATAACAAGAAGATAGAAGCCATTACCGAGTGGGAGAGGCCAAAGAACGTTAAGGAAATTCGTAGTTTCCTTGGATTGGCAGGCTACTACAGGAAGTTCGTGGAGAAGTTCTCTGTTTTGGCATCACCATTGACGAAGCTCACTCGTAAAGGAGCTAAGTTTGTATGGGATGACAAATGTGAGAAGGGGTTCATGGAACTAAAGAAACGGTTGACCGAGGCACCGGTACTTGCATTACCCAAACAGGGTGTGGGGTACGATGTCTATAGTGACGCGAGCATCCAGGGGTTTGGGTGTGTACTGATGCAGGAAGGGAGGGTAATTGCCTATGCTTCACGACAGTTGAAGAAGCATGAGGTAAATTATCCTACCCATGATTTGGAGCTGGGAGCGGTGGTGTTTGCACTGAAGATTTGGAGACATTATCTCTACGGAGAGACATGTCACATATATACCGATCATAAGAGCTTGAAATACGTGTTTACTCAGAAAGAGCTAAACATGAGACAGAGACGGTGGATGGAGTTGATAAAAGACTACCATCTGGTGATAGAGTATCACCCAGGCAAGGCTAACGTGGTGGCAGATGCTTTGAGCCGGAAAAGCTCGTCTGGGCCATTGCTAGCTAATTTGAGGGCATTAAGAGCCCAACTGGAGGTATCCAGCGATGGTGCCTTATTGGCACGATTTGAGGTGAGACCCACTTTACTTGATGAGATCAAGAAGGGTCAGGAAACCGACGAAGAAATTATGAAGATCCGGGAACGCATGCAAGCGGGACCGGTGGAGGACTTCCGAGAAAGAGATGACGGTCTCTTATTATTTCGTGACCGAGTGTGTGTACCGGCAGATGACGAGCTCCGAAAGTCCATCTTAGAGGAAGCTCATTCATCGGCTTATGCCATGCACCCGGGGGGCACGAAGATGTACCGTGACCTGAAGGAGAGTTACTGGTGGTCAGGTATGAAGAGAGAAATAGCCGAATATATCAGTCGATGCCTTACTTGTCAACAAGTTAAGGCAGAGCATCAGCATCCAGCGGGCTTATTGCAACCACTTTCCATTCCTGAATGGAAGTGGGAACACGTGACTATGGATTTTGTGGTAGGGTTGCCACGGACGATCAGGAATTATGATGCAGTTTGGGTTGTTGTAGATAGGCTCACAAAGAGTGCACACTTCTTACCTATCAACACTACTTACCCACTCGAGAGGTTAGCCAAATTGTACACGGATGAGATCGTGAGGCTACATGGGGTTCCAGTGACCATTGTATCCGATAGAGACCCACGATTCACATCACGTTTTTGGCCGAAATTTCAGGAGTCTATGGGAACGAGGTTGAAGTTCAGTACTGCTTTCCACCCACAGACGGACGGGCAGTCTGAAAGAGTCATACAGATCTTAGAAGACATGCTGAGGGCTTGCGCATTAGAGTTCCAAGGAAGTTGGGACAACCACTTAGCACTTGTGGAGTTTGCCTATAACAACAGTTATCAGGCAAGCATCGGCATGCCTCCATACGAGGCATTGTATGGGAGGAGATGCCGTACACCATTATGCTGGGATGAGGTTGGCATGGCCAAACTCGAGGGTACTGAGTTGGTTGAGGTCACCAAGTCAAAGGTGAAGTTGATTCGAGAGAGACTCAAGGCGGCTCAGGATAGGCAAAAGAGTTATGCGGATAAGCGTCGAAGGACCTTAGAGTTTAAGGTTGACGACGAGGTATTCCTGAAAGTTTCTCCTTGGAAAGGAATCATTCGATTCCAAACCCGAGGAAAGCTTAACCCACGATATATAGGCCCATTCAGAATTATAGAGAGGGTTGGGGCCGTAGCATATCGTCTACAGTTGACTCCTGAGTTGGAGAAGATTCATAATGTATTTCACGTGTCCATGCTTAAGAAGTATGTGCATGATCCTTCTCATGTGTTGGAGAAGCCGCCCGTGGAGGTACGTGAAGATTTGAACTATGCCGTGCAACCGGTAAGAGTTATTGACAGAAAAGTGAAGAAACTGAGGAGTAAAGAAGTTCCAATGGTTAAAGTCCTTTGGAAGAGTGACCGGGTCGAAGAAGAGACCTGGGAAACAGAAGCCTTGATGAGGAAGCAGTATGCATTCCTATTTGAGTAAAGCTGTGAATTTCGGGGACGAAATTCCTGTTAAGGGGGGGTGAACTTGTGACACCGCTCCCGAAGGTCCTTGAAAATTTGATTTGAATATTCAAAGCTTATGTATTGGATTTCTGATTCCCAAACATTTTGTAAAACGATCAATGTTCTACGTAGTGCATGGTTGAATATCGTACTGTTCAAACTCGTACATTAGTGTCGGGTTTCGCAAATACTTACTCGGGACTTATTAATAAATAAAAGAGTCCAACATTATCTATATAAGTGATCGAAGGATTAAAGAAGAATACAAATGCCTATAACCCCATCTTTGGCATTTTTGAGCTAAATAATGGGAGTAGGATTTTCCTTCTATAACATCCATCAAGTAAATTATTGGGATGAGCCTACACATATTGGAGGTCAATAATGTGATTTAGGAAGTTGACTTGTTCTAAATAAATTAGGATGAGTACAAAAAGACATCTTTGACAAAGATAAAACAATAGGACCCATCTTCCCATTTTTTGGAAGTATTGATAGACATTTTGGACCCCAAATTGAATGGGACCATTTGGGGACCATCCCACATGACCTTGGTACCTGCAAAACAAAGGAAAATGGGTGAGACAAAGATGTGGGGCGGACTTTTGACTCATGAACTACAACATTACAAAAAGGAAATAAAAGAGGAGGTCCACACCATGTTTGATTGCAATCAAATACCCTACCCTTCTTTTTGGTGAACCACATGCTCTCTTAGCATGATTGAGGCCTCCTAATACACTCCCCCTACACCCCATTCGAACTCCCAAGATAAGAGAGAAAGAGAGAGCCACATACTCCAAGGGAGAGGTGAAGAGAGAAGCTGGCCGCAGGACTCGTTTTCCAGAAAATAGGGCTACTTGTTTGATCCATAACTTGAGCTTCACTCGTCCAAATAAGGCGTATGATATACCAAAAGAAAGCTCTCAAGACGAGGAATCCGTGAAGGTCTGGTTTGCATAAATCGGAGTAGTGTAAGACCTCCAAATCGACCGATCAAAACACGACCTCGCAGAATACGTTTTTGTATTCAAAGTAAGTTTGAATCCAAAACCTTCCTCTCTATTGTCTAAATCATATAAATGATTGAAGAACTATTATACACTGATTGAAGTGTATAAAATGTTATTATTATGTGACTTTAATTGTTGGAAAGGTTAGATACTAACCTAGACAAAACCTTGAAAGGTTAGGGAACGAATTCGTCGGGAAACACCCGTTCTAGGGACTGTTTTTGCATTTTCGGTTAGGAGTTGAACTAGCACTTTGAAGGGGCTGTTTAACACTCCATTCCAAGCAAGGAATCAGTTCCAAATCCACCTTGACCAAAGCTTTGACCATTGGACCAAGAAGGGAAAGTTTAAAGCTCAATTGAGGTGAGGATTGACATCTAATTGCTTACAACTTGTAGGTTAAGCATGAGATTACCTAAATGCTTAAATCATGATTTTTCATGGATTATGATGATTATATATTGATGGAATATTGATATAGTTGCCAAAGAATGAAATTTGAAATGATTTGAGAAGGTATGAATAATATGAGATTAAATGAGTATAAAAGAACCATTTTGTGAAAATGGGTATTTTACTCATGTATGAATTATGTGGATACATAAATGAATATTTGTGTATTGAGATTAAATACTTAAGTTGCTGCTACATAATTATAAATATGTAGAGAATTACAAATAATGAGGATAATGGTATGATAACAATAATCTTAATAGTATTGAAATACTAGTTAGTGATTATTGGGACTTGTTGATTAAATTGATCCTAGGGATTGGATTGTATGAAAGGTACTTGAATATGGTTCAAGTGTATATAATACTTAGTATGGAACTAAGGTTGAGTTATGGGAAGTCTTTAAGGATGACCCATGGTAGTTTAATGATATGTTAATTCTAGGCATAGGGTTGCTTGAGAATTGGACCTTAATGCATGGTGATGTGATAGAGCCGAGCTCTAGAATGCATGTAAGGTGTAGACTTGGAGTCTATGTATTGTATAGCTAGAGCCGAGCTCTAGGACTTGCGTGGTGATGTGATAGAGCCGAGCTCTAGAACGCAAGTAAGGTGTAGACTTGGAGTCTATGTATTGTATAGCTAGAGCCGAGCTCTAGGACTTGCGTGGTGATGTGATAGAGCCGAGCTCTAGAACGCAAGGTAGGGAAATTGACCCGAGGTATATGAATTGTATGGTGATGTGGTAGAGCCGAGCTCTAGAATACAATGTCATGTACTAGGGTTGGACTCTAGGAGTTGTCGTGGCTTATAGTCACGGGGTTGGGAATGGTGATTTCCAAATGAAAACGGGCCCACGGGCCGACTACTTGACTTTTATATAAAGTAAGTATATTTTTTAAACGGGGTAACTTAGGGTTACAATCATAATGTACTATCACCCTACTTGAGGGTCTTGTGTTTGAAATACTTGTTGTATATCTATTAGATGCCTGCCACACCAGTACTTTATAGCCGTATAGAGTACTGCCCCCTTCGGGGGCGTCCCACCACCATTTCAGGTTGAGGCTAGAGCTTGCTTCCTGTGCTCGTTGCCCGAGTGATTTCCCCGGAGAGAAGACTTGGTTCGTGCTTCCTCCATTCTGTTTTAGAACATTAATAAACATGCTCATGGATATTTTACTTTAGAGCCTGCGTGCTCATGTTTGCCCTGTGTGGCCCTTTTGTTTTAAACAATGTTTTCCGCTGCGTATTCAATTGTTTATTATGTATGTTTATGGATGACTTATGTGTGAATGATATTCATGACGCCTTGTATAATATGAATGTGTTGGACTGCGGTTGACTATTCGTATTGTGCGGCGGGTTGTTGACGTGTCCGGGAAGGTCCGGGGCGTGACACCATGACATCTAAAACCTATGTTGTCATTTACCAAGTATTATTGATAGCAAAAATAAATTTACACATGTCAAAAACGAAAACAATATGAAAAAGTGAAATACAAAATGTCAAAAATAATACAGGTTTATTTGGGTAAATAGAGTACAAATAAAAAAGTTGAAGGTATATAGACTGAAAATATTGAGTCTAGATGCTATTTCAAATTTATGTTCACCTTTCTAATCAAGGATATTTTCATTGGGATGTCACAAAAGTATATATTTTGAACTCTTTTTGTAAAGAAAGAGGTTGAGGGACTAATTGGTAAAATTCTAAAACCGAGAAGGCCTAATTTCTTCAATAAAATTGACTACACCTATTTTTAGATAAACAAATTACAAAAATATGTAGTTAGTTTTGAAAAAAACAATAAGCTACAGATGAAATTTAATGAACAAAAATACGCATTGAACATTTTCTTTTTTTGTTTGGGATGCACTGAAAGAGTTATAAAAAATTGATCTTTTCATTGAAAAATATAGATTGCAAACATGTTTAGATAATTGGTGAAAAAATTAGACAAACTCGATAAATTTGGATTTTCATTATAAACCAATGTTATAATTGACTAAATAAGTGACTTTTCAATATTAAAACTAAAAGAAAAATCATTTCAAAACCAAAGTTTTTTTTTTGTAAATTCAAGGTCGCAAACATGTAGCTTCTACTTTTTCCTCGCTTGTGTCCTTTATGCTTTCTAATTTTTAAGACAGTCTTAATTGGGTCGTTTTGTTGACTCAATTTGAATTGTCAGTTTTTGAATATATGCTTTAGAACTTAATATGCCTTTATTAACACTTTCAGTCAATAAATAAAATGTCCCCTGATTATTGCATGAAATTACGTTATACAATAATGAAATCTTAATTTTAAAGCTTGGATTTATTTCAAAAAAGTTTTTTGTCTAAAAACTTCCATTTTTCCTATGTTCAAAATTCTTTTTATTTTTACATATGCAATATTGATGTCATATGAAAGCTAATAAAAAATCATGAATTTTGATATACTTCTTATAAAAATTGAATTACAAATGAAAAAGTTTTATCAATTCAAAAAATAGTGAGAATTCTTTAAGACAATTTGAGTAGAATTCCAGTAGCTTATTTCTAAACTGACTATAATAACTCTAATTAATGGCAATACTAATATAATTTTTTTTTGTAACTGGGAGGCTTATATTGATAATGAAACACTCAGCAAGGGACAATAATGATAAAGCAAGCACTTCCGGCCACCGACCCTCGAACCAGCTGGAGAATCAATCACCTTAAAAAAAGCAATGTGATTCGTTGATCCTATAATGGGTCTACTTGAGCCAAACGTGGCCAGAGTAAAAACCTCATCACCCTCACCTAGTGTAAAAGTCTGAAAGAACAAAACCACAGTAATCGAAAGGAAAAAGAACTGAGAGCAAAAAATAAACTCAAAAATAAACAACACGTGGGAATTAAAAAGCATCCTGAAACAGAAGAACGAGCACTAGCACCCTTCCTATTTTCACTCCTCTTCAAAGTACTCGGCGGGTCGAGGCGTCTGAGCCCGCCCCTCCCCCGTTTTTTGAGACATCCAGGGCCATGGTTTCACCTTCTTCTCTTCCACCACTAGCTTCCTCCCAAGTCCGCCTGCGTTTTGGCTCCCCACTCTTATCCTCCAAAGCCGCTGCTTCCGCATTCCACTCTTTCCTGTTCGGGTCCGGATTGCCTCCCACCTCATGAGCTGCCTTGCCATCTTCCTTTGGTCCTTCTGAGATTATCCATTTGTTTCCCCCCTCCATTCGTGCCTTCCCCCCTCCTCCTGCCCGTAGGCCGACCCCATAAGGCTTGTTAGTGCCCACCGCAGCATTCTCATAAATCAGGGGACAAAACCTGTCTGCATGTCCTATAGTGCCACAGGAGAAACAGAAACTAGGCAACTTTTCATATTTAAAATCAACCCAGTGCCCATCGCCTTGTCCCTTTTTGAGCGTGGTTCCAACCTTTAGAGGTTTTCCCACATCCAAACAAACCCTAATCCTCATATACGGCTTCCATTTCTTGTCAAACTGAGGTTTTTCCCAGTTAACAAATTTTCCAACAAAGTTCCCGATCCTCCTAGCCACACCCAAATTCATGAAATCATAGGGGATATCATGAACCTGGACCCAGAATTCAGCCTCATTCAGAGGAACACGGAGTGGGACATCCCCGGGCTGCAACTTAACGCCCGAAGAATCAACAAATTCTGTTCAAAAATCCATGGTCCATCTTCAAGCACACGTTTCATATCTATAGGGTGATAAAAAGTAAACATATACCTTTTTTCGTCAATTTCCTTTATGGAGATACCCTTACCCGGCCTCCAAAGCGATGCCATGAGGTCTCAAAAAGCCGAGAATTTCACTCTCTTATCAGTGAGCACAGTCCCTACCACCGGATAAAACTCCTGTTCGGCCGGGCCGTCTTCCTCTTCCAGCGTTTCCTCCTCAAAGACCAATTCTTCTTCCTGATTCCCAATAGCCATATTCTTGTATTTATTTGCCATTTCCTCCATTCTTCAATCCACAAATTTGAAGCAATCAATCGGCCACCTGCCTTCACAAAACAAAAAACGAAACAAACTGCGTCTTCCGAAAATCAATAAATCAATTTGAGTGCTGCCTTTGGGGGTTTGCAACCCTCAATCGACCACCTGCTATCAGGCTAACACTAAGCAATGATCCCAAGCGCAAAAACAAACCCCTCCCTTCACGATCGAAGGAGAAGGATCGGCGCAGCGCAAGAAGAAAAACCCAAAACCTAGATACCTAGGAGACGTCCGCTAGGGTGGACATTGAATTAATTAATACTAATCTAATTTATAAATCCTAAACTTACGAACTATAATTAATTAATTAATTAAAATACTAATTTGGAAAGAGAATCTAGAAAATTTATTAAATGTTTGCTTAGAAGATGACATGTGGCAAAACTTTCCCTAATTGTATCTTTGAAATGTATTATTTATAGATAGACAGAGAATTATTCTAAGAAAAGGAAGAATTGTATTTGTCATTCAATGATTTTGGGAAGCAGTAATAATTTCTGGCTACCGATTGTTCTGCCCTTACTATCGCAGCACATATCCCTTTAGAGGGACACATATCCTTCTTATTGATTGAATGTAGTAACCGGTATGTTTGTCCTATCATGGTTTGGTTTTTAATATCTTTATTTTTGAATCATTGGAGTTTTTTCCTTGCCATCGGGGTGTTTTTTGCCTTGTCATCGGGTCGGACATGCCACGTCAGTGAAACCTGATTAATTCTCACTCCCTTGCCACGTCATGCCTCCACGTCATCTCATTCACATGTTTTTTTAAATTTAAAAAAATAATGGCGGCTGAGAGTCGAACTCCAGCACTCCTAGTTTAAACTTAAATCTCTATTCACTCTACAAAGGCAGCCAGTTGTTTCTTTGTTGTTTTGTAATGTACTTATTACGGACTAAGGCTCTGATACCAATTAAATTGTCACGCCCCGGACCTAACCGGACACGTCAACAACCCGCCGTACAGTACGAATAGTCAACCGCAGTCCAACACATCCGTACTATACAAGGCGTCTGGAATATCATTCACACATAGTACATCCATAAACAAACATTATGTAAAATATTCATTTAAAGCAGCGGAAACATTCAATACAAGTGTTCATGCCACACCTTGGCAAACATGGGCATACAAGCCCCCAAATAAATATTTAAAAGTAATATCCATGAGCATTGATTAAATAGTTTGTAAAAATGGAAACGGGGGAAGCACGAACCACGTCTCCTCCTTTTTGGATCCTCCCGAAGCAACGACGATGGTAGCAACCTTCAAGTTCTACCTGAAACTGTGAGGTGGCCTCCCCCGTGAAGGGGAGGTCAGTACTTGGAAGCATTTGACAAGTACAATGACAACTATACTAAGTATAATCAAAGTTTCAATTTCCAAGACACTCAATCTAGGATGTTATTATTTTATAATCAACTCACGTTCCTTCATGCTAGAGCTCGGCTCATAGTCATACTAATTCGTGCTAGAGCTCGGCTCATAGTCACACTACGTTTTGCTAGAGCTCGGCTCATAGTCATACTACATTTTGCTAGAGCTCGGCTCATAGTCATACTACATTTTGCTAGAGCTCGGCTCATAGTCATACTACATTTGCTAGAGCTCGGCTCATAGTCATACTACCACGTGCTAGAGCTCGGTTCATAGTCACGTCATCTAATCCTAAACAATTTCTAAGTCTAGGCTCCATCCCTTTGAGTAACCCTTAAGGCCTACTCCTAATGTAACTTGGGTTCATAAAGTTCACCTTAAAATATCCTTTAAGGTTACTTAGCTCCAATATCTTGGGATTATCCCCAAGACTATTGAACTATCATTTTCGACTAGTAATTCTATACTAGTCGTTTAATCTTAATATATCCAATGCAAATTCATAATAGTTCGTATATTTCAATTTAATTCCACATTCAAGTATAGTTTGGCTTTAATATCAAAATATCACTTTTATCCTTCCATGACTTCTTTACATGAGGTAAAAGTATATTTATCACAATGAACATTCATGGTTAATACATTTATCATGCCATTTTATTCATAATACATAATCATACACAATTTATTCATAATTTGTATATTATGCACTTTCACTTATAAACAATATTAATTTCATTTAGGCACTTTTTATCATTAATAAACCATGCCAAACACATTTAATTCATTTAGGTAATCTCATGAAATTAACCCAATAATTATAAGCAATATAGTCGGTCATCCTCACCTTAAGTGAGCTTAAGCGCGTTCTA